ACGCGCCCCCATGAGCTGGCCAAGGCACTGCCAGATGCATCGGCCACGCGCAGGCACGTGCCTGGCACACGGATGGAATCCTTAACGGCGCTAGGGAATAATCTGTCTAAAAGCAAGCATATTCCGTTAAAATTAACCTGACGCTGTTAACTGTCGTTAGGAATATTCCATCAGAGTTGACGGAATATTCGCCGTCTTCTCCGATGAGTCTCACCGGCCGCTGCCGTCCACCACCGTCAGGGCCACCGTTTGTAACTCGAATTCTCGCTGAAAACTGGAAAATTTTCAAAACTTCATATCTTCTTCATTTCTTAACCAAATTCTATGAAATTGGTACCAAATTGAAGCTTACAACGAGTAGAACAAAACCTTACCACTTTGAAGACCTAAAACCAACAGAATCTTGTTGGAAAAACCCATGATATTCCGGCCAAACCTACAACTCACTGAAACTGGGCTTCTCGACGTCCAAAATGCTTCAACTTTCTTCTCCGAGCTTCGTGAGGACCTCCTAAAGCTCCTTGTGACCTTAAAAACTCCTAAAAACTTCACGATCACGTGTGCATGAACAGTGCATGAAAACTGGTGTTAGGGTTCTCGAGGTTTTCGAAGGTTTCAAGTTTCACAAATGGTATGGATGAACTCAAGAGCTTGGAAGGAGTTCGAATCTTACCTTCTAGACATCGATCCGTGCGTGAAAGGTTGGTTTTGAAGTTCGTCCGTACACTTTCAAAGGAAATGGAAGAAAATCCGAGAGAAAGAAGAGAGAGAAAGGTCCACGGGTGTGTGTGTGTGGGTGTGTGGTCCTAGGTGAGTTAACAACCAAAAACAACAACTAAACAGCACCCCACAACACTAATTAATGTCCAAGGGTATTTTAGTCTTTTCACACCTACAATACAAATAATTTGGGACGGGCTGTCACATTCATACCAATTATAGCAAAAAAAAAAAACATAAATAAATATTTGTGTTATATTAAATATGTTAAGTTTAACGAATATATTTAATTGACCATATTCTCAGCTTGATGGTGAAGTGCTTTTGTATGAGACATCTTGGTCTTAGGGTCGAAGGGGATGTGCTTCTGTTGTTGCCTTTGAATGTAATTAACAAAACATAAATATTTAAAAAGTATTTGAAAACAATATAATATAATCCGATAGAGGTAGAATAAAACATTTGAAAGTATTTGCGTTGGATATAACCACCAGAGTTAGTATAAAAATGTCTAAATATTTGTGTCGTATATAATTGCTAGAGTTAGTATAAAAATTTGAAATAATATAATATAATCTGACACATTACTTACTCATGTCTGATATAACAACCAGAATTGGTTAAATATATTTAAAAAATAAATATGGAAAAGTTAAAGGCCTGCTTCATTATTCTTGTCGGAAAGTAGTGAACTAATGTCGAATATAAGCGACAGTAGTACTTTGTTATCCGATACTATTTAAACATGTTGTCAGAATATTTTACCTGATAATAATAGTATAAAACTGTACCACTCTTGGACACGTTAAGCTAATTTTGTAGTAGTGGCCTGATTAATTTAGTTAGTACTATCTGGTGACTATTTATCCTAACCGACTGAAATAGTTAGTACAGTCTGAGTTACCAAACGAGACCTAGTAAACCAATTGAAGAGTATTTAAAGCTCATTAGGACTCTTTCATTCAGTTGGAGATATGATATGATAAAGTGCACAACAACTGCTTATCTTTTGGTAGTGTTTCACTTCAACTAAGACTCCTCTTCATGCAACTTCTTGTCTTTCAAGCTTCAAGTTCAATTCTTCCAAATTTTGGCACATGTGTAACACCATTTAAACTCCAAAACATCCAGCTCTTGTGTCACATCCCGGCCTGGGGGACCACTTCCCATGCTTGCTCCACCATCCTAACACGATATTGTCCGTTTTGGGCCCCGACCACGTCCTCACGGTTTTGTTTCTGGGAACTCACACGAGAACTTCTTGATAGGTCACCCATCCTGGGAATGCTCTCGTGCACTACTCGCTTAACTTCGGAGTTCCCATGGAACCCAAAGCCAATGAGCTCCCAAAATGCCTCGTGCTAGGTAGGGATGGGAATATACATATAAGGATCACTCCCTTGGGCGATGTGGGATGTCACAATCCAACCCTCCTTAGGGGCCCGACTTCCTCGTCGGCACACACGCGACCAGGGTTAGGCTCTGATACCAATTTGTCACATTCCGGCCCAGGTGGGGACATCCCGGGCTCGCTCCACCACCGTAGCATGATATTGTCTGCTTTGGGCCCCGACCACGCCCTCACGGTTTTGTTTCTGGGAACTCACACGAGAACTTCCTGATGGGTCACCCATCTTGGGAGTTCTCGTGTGAGTTCCCAGAAACAAAACCGTGAGGGCATGGTCGGGGCCCAAAGCGGACAATATCATGCTACGGTGGTGGAGCGGGCTCGGGATGTCCCTCTGGGAAACAAAACTGTGTGGGTGTGGTCGGGGCCCAAAGCGGACAATATCGTGTTACGGTGGTGGAGTGGGCCTGGGATGTCCCCGGCCCGGGAGGACCACTTCTCGGGCCTAACTCCATCGTAGCACGATATTGTCCGCTTTGGGCCCTGACCACGCCCTCACAGTTTTATTTCTGGGAACTCACACGAGAACTTTCCGATGGGTCACCCATCTTGGGAATGTTCTCGCGCGCTACTCGCTTAACTTCGGAGTTCCAACCGAACCCGAAGCCAGTGAGCTCCCAAAAGGCCTCGTGCTAGGTAGGGATGAGAATATACATTTAAGGATCACTTCCTTGGGCGATGTAGGATGTTACAATCCACCCCCCTTAGGGGCCCGACGTCCTCGTCAGCACACCACCGCCAGGGTTAGGCTCTGATACCAAATTATCACATCCCAGCCCGGGCGGGACCACTTCCCGGGCTCGACTCCACCGTAACACGATATTGTCCGCTTTGGGCCCCAACCACACCCTCACGGTTTTATTTCTGAGAACTCACACGAGAACTTCTCGATGGGTCACCCATCATGGGAGTGCTCTAGCCACCTTCTCGCTTAACTTCGGAGTTCCTATGGAACCCAAAGCCAGTGAGCTCCCAAAAGGCCTCGTGTTAGGTAGGGATGAGAATATACATTTAAGGATCACTCTCCTGGGCGATGTAGGATGTGACAATCCACCCCCCTTAGGGGGGTTAGGCTTTGATACCAAATTGTCACATCCCTGCCTGGGGGGACCATTTTCTAAGTCCGACTCCACCGTAGCACGATATTGTCCACTTTGGGCCCCGACCACGCCATCACGGTTTTGTTTCTGGGAACTCACACGAGAACTTCCCGATGGGTCACCCATCCTAGGAATGCTCTCGCGCGCTACTCGCTTAACTTCGGAGTTCCAATGGAACTCGAGGCCAATAAGCTCCCAAAATGCCTTGTGCTAGGTAGGGAAGGGAATATACATTTAAGGATCACTCCCTTGGGCGATGTGGGATGTTACACCTTGTGCAGCATGCGCATCTTAGCTATCCAATCCAAGTCCAACACTTCTATTTGCTCTTTAATCTCCAATTATCAACTTTACCAACTGAACCTACAATAAAATGAAAATAACATAAAATACTATAACAAACAGAGATTAACTAAATAAATACAAATAAATAAGATAATAAAGTCGCACAAATATGCTTCTATCATAAGCATATTATATTTTATGATCTTGGTGAGGAAAGGTGAAGTTCTAACTCAAAACAAAACATATATCAAGTATAAACGATAATTCTTCATTGCTCACCAAAAATTAAAATTAAATTTTTTTCTCCTAAATATTCATGGCAATTTCAGATTAAATACCAATTTTAATAATGGTTTTAAGGGAAAAAAAAAACTATAAGATCATCTCCAACCTTTGGGTTAAAACCTAAAATTTTTAGCCCATAAAATTTAGGTTTTAACCCAGAAACAGTTTTTTTGTATCCAACCCTTTTGGGCTAAATTTTTACCCTCCAGATTATTAAAGAATGAATTTAGGCTATTTAAAAAAAATATTATGTGGACTATTATAAATTAATTTTATGAATATTTTAACCTAAAAATATTTAAATTCTGATAAACATTGAAAAATCACTAAATTGACACATGAAACTCATGAAACACTATGGAAGAAAACGAAACATATGATAGAGATGTATAAACACAAAACACAAGAACAAACACATGATTTTGGAAGATGGTAGAAAGAAAAATTGGAAGAATTGTAGGAGAAAAGTAAGTTTTGTGTGGATGTTTGAACAAATACATATGTATTTATAGAGTTTTTGGGTGAATTTTTGAGTTAATTTTTTTTTTTTAAATTATTTTAGCTGTTGGATTTAAATTTGGGCTGCTAGATTTGATTATATTCGATCTCAACCGTTGGATTAAATAAACATATAAATATAAAACTAAAATAAAGTTTGAAAGTGGACCGTTGGATCAACTAATAGCCCATTTGAATCTGGCCAGATGATCAGAAAAAGAGCTGTTAGGCTCACCAATGTAAGGAGACAAGTGGGTGACAAGCCCACATGGGTGGGGCCGTTTCGTCTGCTAGGCTTGGCGTGCGTGCGTCCAGGCGGCCTGGTGGTGGGCTTCAAATGCTTGTTTTCACTCTAATTTGTGGTTCCATCACTACCTTTGGCCTAAATTTTGGCATTTATTTCTTTTTGAGTTCTAACACTTAACACCATTTTAACACAAGAATTGAAATGATATGGGACGAATAAAAAGAAATTTTAAGACTTACTTCAAGGGTTGAAGTTGGTCTAATAGAATGTTAATCGACAATTGAACTATTAATTTATATGACAAGAGCGGCATTCTCATTTTTGTACTTGACGGTGAAAAGTGAAATTAACCCAAGTAAAATTGGTGAATTTGGGAATGGTGGGCTTTATGTACAAGTGAAGCCCAATACTTGGCCCCTTTATTTCCAATCTAATTACGGAAATAAAACCCTCTGAAACTCGAAATCCCCAGCTCCAAGAACCCCTATCAGAAACAAGCCATGCTTCTGTGCAGAGCTCCAGAGTTCTCACCCTCCACTCTCTCTCTAATCCACTCCTCCTCCTTCTTCTCCACTCTCTGTTTCTCTAACCCTAATCTCCTCTCCATGCGCTCTTCACTCTTCCCTCCTCTCTCTCTCCTCCGCTCCCTCACTCTCTGTCTCTCTCACAACCAACACCACCACCCTCCTACCCACCCATTCTCCAGGCACATATCCAGTTTTCCGCTCTCCACCACCAAACCCTGCCGGTTCCACGCCCTTCCTTCTTCCAGTACTTCCGTTGAACACGTTGCAGGCAAGGCCTCGGACCCAGAGGAGAATTGGGATTTGAGCAATGTCGCGCAGAGCGAGGTTTTCGATGTTGAGAAGTGCTTTGCTTCCGCCGACTTGAAGCACCTGGGGGCGCCGAAGCTTGAGGTTTCAGAGCTGGAGGAGCTCCCGGAGCAGTGGCGGAGGTCGAAGCTGGCGTGGCTGTGTAAGGAACTGCCGGCGCATAAGGCCGGTACCTTGAGTCGTATACTCAATGCGCAGAAGAAGTGGATAAGGCAAGAAGATGCCACTTATGTTGCCGTGCATTGTATGCGGATTCGGGAAAATGATGTCGGGTTTCGGGTAAACTAACTAAAGTTTCAGTCTTTATGTGCGCTTTCAGTTCGTTGATATTTGCAATGTGTGTGCTTTGATTGAACAATGACTGTGATTTTGGCAATGTCGTTACGAACCTTTGTAAAATTAATAATTATATGAGCATTTGGCGGACTTAGTAAAGTTTATTGAAAATGTCTGTAGGTTTACAAATGGATGATGCAACAACACTGGTATCGTTTTGATTTTGCTCTTGCTACTAAGTTAGCGGATTACATGGGTAAGGAGCGAAAATTCTCGAAATGTAGGGATATATTTGATGATACAATTAATCAGGGGCGTGTTCCTAGCGAATCTACATTTCATATATTGGTTGTAGCATATCTCAGTGCCCCGGTTCAAGGTTGCTTGGAGGAAGCATGTGGCATTTACAATCGTATGATTCAGCTAGGAGGTTATCAGCCCCGGCTTCACTTGCACAATTCTCTCTTCAAAGCCCTTGTCAGCCAACCTGGAACCTCTTCGAAACACTACCTTAAACAGGCTGAGTTTATTTTTCATAATTTGGTAACAACTGGACTCGAAATTCACAAGGATATTTATAGTGGATTAATTTGGCTACATAGCTATCAGGATACAATAGATAAAGAGAGGGTGGCATTGTTAAGAAAAGAAATGCAACAGGCTGGAATTGAGGAGGGCAGAGATGTGCTTGTGTCTCTCTTGAGAGCTTGCTCAAAAGAGGGGGACGTGGAGGGAGCAGAAAGTACTTGGCTCAGACTTTGCGATCTTGAAGTTGGTCTCCCACCTCAGGCATATGTTTATAAAATGGAAGCCTATTCAAGGGCTGGAGTGCCTTTGAGAGCCCTAGAGATATTCAGGGAGATGCAAGAGCAGTTGGGTTCGTCCAATGCTGTCGCATATCATAAAGTCATAGAGGTCTTATGTAAGGCTCAAGAAGTTGAACGTGTCGAGTCCCTCATGACAGAATTCATCAACACTGGTTTGAAGAATTTCATGCCGTCTTATATTGATCTAATGAACATGTACTTCAACTTAGGCTTACATGACAAACTGGAATCAGCCTTCTCCCAGTGCCTTGAGAGATGCCGACCCAGCCGTACTATTTGTTCTATATACTTGGATTCTTTGGTGAAAGTTGGTAATCTTGCTAGAGCTGAGGAGATCTTTGGCTTAATGCAGAGTGATGCTGCAATCGGTGTTAACGCTCGGTCCTGCAACACCATATTAAGTGGATACCTGTCATCTGGAGATTATGTCAAGGCAGAAAACATATTTGACCTGATGTGCCAGAAGAAGTATGACGTTGAACCACCATTGATGGAAAATATTGATTATATCTTGAGCTTGAGCAGAAAGGTGGTCAAGAAACCTGTAAGCCTGAAGCTGAGCAAAGAACAACGAGAGATTCTAGTAGGTCTTTTGTTGGGTGGTTTGCAGATCGAATCTGATGAAGACTGGAAAAATCACATGATCCGGTTTGAGTTCAGTGAGAATTCTAGCACACATTCTTTGTTAAAGAGGCATATATTTGATCAATACCATGAGTGGCTACATCCTTCTTGCAAGTCCAGTGAGAGTACAGAGGACATACCATATAAGTTCTCAACCATCTCACATTCGTATTTTGCTTTCTATGCGGAGCAGTTTTGGCCAAAAGGCCGAAGAATGATACCAAAGCTAATCCATCGATGGTTGTCACCATGTGCGCTTGCATACTGGTACATGTACGGGGGCCACAAGACTTCATCGGGAGACGTATTGTTGAAGATAAAGGGTAGTGAGGAGGGTATTGAGAAGATTGTCAAATCCTTAAAGGCAAAGTCCCTGGATTGCAAGGTGAAGAGGAAAGGGAGAGTGTTTTGGATAGGTTTTCTGGGAAGTAGTTCTACCTGGTTCTGGAAATTAGTAGAACCTTATATTCTAGATGACTTGAAGTATGCTCTAAAAGATGGCCAAATCTCAGATAACAGCAGGGTTGAAACCGAAAACGTCAACTTTGGTAGTGGGTCTGATACTAATGAAAATGCTTCTGATTACAGTGATGATGATAATAATTTGTAGCTTCTATAAATTATTGACCATTGTGTTCGGTAAGCTAGAAGACTTCTCTACCAACTCAAGGCTTTTCTCTTCAAGATACATACCTGGATCCACAAAGAGCAGATGAGTCTTGATATTTTTGTAATACTATCTTTACTTTATAATCAATCTCCTGTTGTTCCTTTTTGTCCTAGAGTGGCATTGTCTCTTTCTGTGATTATCGATGTAGTGACTGTTTTTCTAAATAGGTTTGTATATCTGGCAACTCTTACTCTTATATTTGAATGAGTTTCCGTCTTGGCTCAACATATTGATTCTGACTATAGAAGAATGGAGGAGATAATAAATAAACAGTAGATACTTGTCCTTTCACATTGCATTATATTTACTTAACCGCCATCCTTCTAAAGTTTTGAATTATGATACTCCTTTTCACAAATTGTTCCGCAAAGACCCAGATTATACTATTTTGAAAACCTTTGGCTGTACATGTTTTCCATACTTGTGACCCTACATTAATAATAAACTACGTTATGTTCTACCAAATGTGTGTGTTTTAGGGTATTCTTTGAATTATCAAGGGTATAGATGCTAAAGACATTTCCACCACCTGAATTTTTTTGTCACGCCAAGTTATTTTTGATGAGTAAAATTTTCCATTTCTGACCTATTACTCTTGCCTCTTGAAACAAAAGTTCGTCCTCAGATCCTGCACTCGAAATTATTGGGCTAGTACCAACTGGACACCCACAACCCAACGGCCACATACCCCTACACCACATTCGGCCCACTCCAAAATTCAACCAAAAACCTGTGCGTCTTCTTTATGTTCTTTCTCTGCAGTGCTTAATCTTTCAGCCACAAGTTCTTCATTAAGCAAGTCAGAGAAACATGCCACAAAGCCTAGAGGCTCTGTTTCCCATTTAAGTGCATTGGTTTGGGCGTGGCACAGCAGATAAAATCTGAGAAGGATGAGGACCTTACAGCTGCAAGGGTGCACATGGAAGAGCTTGAATCCTTAGCATTCAGTTGACAAAAAGAGGTAGGCCTTTAATGTCCTACTTGGTTCCTATGAGCTGTTTACACGTTCTTTTACTACAAATTGATTATATTTATCCTTTTTCGTGTGGTGCAGATATTTGCTTTGAATGCCAGATTATCTGCTGCTGAAAGCATGACACATGATGTGATTTGGGATTTACTGGGGTCAATTGGATATGAATAGTGGTATGTTATACAGTTCCAAGCTGTTATCCTAACTAATAATGTCATTGATATTGTATCGTGCACAATATAACAGAGCTATATTACTGTTCCTCTAAAAGGATACTGTGTGTTCGTACATGATACTGCAAGTACCCAGAAAATAGGATTGAAAAAGAAAAAATGTATACGAATCTTCACTTGCCTCTGGGACTTTATGTAAACTACTATGCTGCTCATCTCACCTTTATCCCTTTTGTTAATGCTACTCACTATTGGATTATCAACAAGTGCAGAAAATGACGGAGAAGGCTCAGCTTCATAGGGTGGAATCTCAACAAAAGGTATTCAGCTTTGATACTGATACTCGGATAGATACTTTTGTTTTGTGTTTTCTTATATTTGGTTTTTGTCTTTCATTCAGGAGCAAGAGGTAGCTAAGCTGAAAAACAACTGAGTGAATTCATTCAGGAAGGACAAGGGTGAGCAACTATTACCTCAAAACTTCTGAATCAAGTTAGTAATTGTTCTATCATTCATATGTCTAAGTTTCTGCATGCTGATATTCCAGGTGGCTTGAGGAAATTGACCGAAAACAGGCTGAACTCATAGCTGTGCAAATTGCTTTGGAAAAACTTAAGCAGCGAGATCAGTTACTTAAAACCGAAAATGAAATGCTGAAGGTTGAGGCTGTTTTTGATATATTATTTCTTAAAGTGAATGTTGATCCTTTTTATTGTTTTGCTTACTACATTTAGTGTAGGTGGAGAATGTAAATCATAAAATGAAGGTTATGGAACTTGAAGGAAAAGTGGATAAGCTTTCTGGTTAGCAAAAACTGCACCAGCGAATTCATCATATCATCATGCAAAAATGAAGGCAAGATATTACCAAATTGTTAATGAAGTGCTAAGCTCAAGTTCTGTTTTATCTTACCATCATTCTATTCCATTTCAATATGAGTGGGTTTTGCCTAGAAAATCACAAGGTTAAAAGTACACAATGAAGAACTTAGCGATAAGCTCTGTCTGACAGAAGTTAATTCTTTCACGTGTCAAGGAAGAGCATGCTCGTTTTCGTGCTTCCTGTGGGAGGAACCCTTATGTCGATTTTGATGAGGAGCAACGATTGGGTGCAAAACTAAAGGTTAGTGTTGTCTTTTGTGTGTGTGTGTGTGTGTGTGAGAGAGAGAGAGAGAGAGAGAGAGAGAGAGAGGTGCCATCAACCAATAGTTTGATGCTTAATAATACAAGTACTTCTGCTATAGGAACTGAGTAGGAGGAGTTACAACTAGCGCAGAAATTGTTAGGCCTCTGTACTAGCGTTTTGAAGGTCTGTTAAAGGTCACTTGGCAATTAATAACCATTCACTCTCGGAAAATAAAAAAATAAAAAATTCAGGACTAGGACTTACGTCTCATTTTGAATAACTTTCAGGCTGCTGGAATGGCAAAGCAATCGGCACATATAAACCCGTCTGCTGCTGAAGTGGTGCTTGAGCAACTCCATAACAAGATTACTTCAATGGACAGAATTACAGGAATTGAAGTTTAAGGTATATAAAACTTTATCTTCAAGGTTGGGACCAGTCAAACCAAGTAGTCACCTCTCAACCACCTCAGGACAGTAGTGGATACAATTACCATGGAAAACATCAAAATCCTGGCTACAACTACAATCAAACACCTAATGTTGCCAGCCTCGGTTATGATCGGGCATATGCTCAACAGCCACCAAGTTATGGAGGCCAAGCTCCAGTATCTGATTACCAGCAACAATATGCAACTTCAGGGTATGGACCGCCTGCGGTGCCATCCATCAGGGATGCAACTGCTTCCCAAAGTACCCAGTCTTTGGCTGCTTAACAAGTTCCTTACAGCCAGCCAACGGCCAGCCCTCAAGCTGGATAATGCACTCAACCAGGCAGCACAGGCCAACCACATCCTGGTTATTACCAAGCAGGTTATGTAGGGCAGCAGGGGGTCGAAGGCCCTTCTGCAGAGTCTCAGCCAACAGCATATGGACACGGTGAGTACCATCAGCCAGACACCCATTATGCCCCATCAGTGAATCCTCCTACAAACAGAGAGACATAGCATCGGCAACGAGGCCATTCAGAGCTTCCAACCAATGGATACGAAGAGCCATCAGGTTATGGAGCTAAAAGAACCGATGACAAAGAATTCCAATGGGGATGCGTTGGCCCTGCAGCGGAGACTGTCGGTTCTAAAATCTGATATTATAGCTGGTTAAGGATGTCGTTTCTTACTTATGTTCCTTATTTTCTCTTATTTTCTTTCTTGGGGTTTGATATTTGCTCTCATGTACCATCTGTGTGGCTGCAGAACATTATGTTTCAATTCTTCAAATGTAGGAATATCTTGTTAGACAGCCGTTTATTATGTTCAGATGTGATGGTTATCCGTCAACCGGCAGTCCAGGAGTCGCTGATCACTAGTTTTATGTTCATCTAATTTCGTAATATTTTCAGTCCCGAGGTCCATGAAATATTTGTAATTGAATGGCACCGTAGGAGCTAAGCACTAGATGAGATGCTCGACTTCTTCTGAAAGAGTAGGGTGTTTCGCTTTGGAAGGAGCAGTCCTACAAAGACTGAACTCCAATAAAGTGGAGACCAAGTGTCCCTAGACTAAGCGGTCATTGGCACGACATGTTGAGTTCACTGTCCCTAGAGTAAACTTATGTTTCCACAAGGTCAACTGACATTCAGTTTCCTTTTTCATTATACTTTTCTTTCCAGCTTTTACATGTAGTGAAGAAACCCAAGCTTATATTTGCACTAGTAATTGCCAATTGGTGGAAAAAACAAAACAGTACAGATATTGTTAGGATACTGTCGGTTGGCATCGTCTTACAGTTCCAAGTGTACGGTAGCTGATTACTAGTCAGTTAGAAGGTTGTTAGAGTTGGAAATATCCTAAAAATAGTAGCCTGTAAGAGAATTTTAACAGTCAATGAAATAGTATTGTTCTTCTGTCTCTGTACAGCCATTGAAGATTTGGAGCTAGGTTCTAAGATTGGTATCAGACAGTCGTTCGATCCTCTCAATCCTTCTCTGTTGTATGACGCGTCAACCGTGGTCGAAAAACATGAAAACAAGGGTTTCTAATTTGACGAGTGAAGTTTCCTAGGATGAATTGCGCTCTGAATTCAAGATGACCCAAGAATTGATTCTTATTCAATTGCAGTCACTCATGGCGCGCGGCAATGGAGGATCTATTGGAGAATCTTCAAAGGCAACTCCATTGAATCCACAGATGCCAGAAGGAATGAATCTTAATTCGGTTCCCACTTTCAAGAATCAAGATTGTGGCCATTAGGATGGATTATCTTAAAGATGGATTTTCCTCGATTCAATGATGGTGATGATCCATTAGGGTGGATTATTAAGGCTTAGCATTAATTTGAGCTCTTCAACAACATTGAGGATTCGAAGAAGGTAAAATTGGCGTCTTTCCACATGGAAAGGGAAACTTTACGGTGGTTTCAATGGGCGTGATGCTTGCCAAACTACCCCCGTTGGGAAGAATTCACAAAGGTGCTATGTCAAGAATTTGGTCCCTCTGAATTAGAAGACTCAGCTGAGACATTGCGACAAGTGGGTACTCTTTGAGACTATGTGAACGAATTCAGGCTTCTAGCAAATCGTACCAGGGATATCAACCCATCACTTCTTAAGTCTTGTTTCATCAGAGGATTGAAGCAGAACTCAGACATGATGTGAAACTCTTGAAGCCTAAAGATGTTCTTGAAACTACTACTTTTGCCCAACAAATCGTTCCAAGCTTACTGATCTCAAGGTGAAATCTTCCTATAAACCTCTTGTGATTCAGCCTAATTTTAAACCACCTTTGCAAATTGTGAACACTAATACTATCGCTGAGAATAGATCAAGATTCAAATAAAGTGAGTAGATTAACACCAGAAAAAGTAGAACATTGTAGAAAGAATGGTCTTTATTTTCACTGTAAAGAAAAACATGTTAGAGGCCATAGTTGTAAAAAGAAACAATTGTTATTATTTTATGTGCAAGACTATGTAGAGGGTAAGGAGAATGAAGTAGAGAATGATTTAGATGAGGGAGAACCTGAGATCACTGCCTGTGCACTATTTGGGACTCCAGCACCTCCATCTATAAATATCATGAAGGTTTCTGGATTTATCAAGAATTGTCTTGTCACAAGCTTAATAGACTTAAGGAGTTCACATAATTTTATAGATTTGGGATAGGTTAAAAGACTTAGGAGCCATTTGGACACAAGTCATGTCTTCAATGTCAAGATTGTTGATGGTGGTAAGACGGCTACACTGGGTACATTATCTCAAGCTCCTATTAAAATTCATGAGTATAGAGGTATGCTATTACACGTGGTGGTTATGATGTTGTCTTAAGGGTTCAGTGGCTTAAGATCATGGGTCCTATATTGTGGAATTTTGATTTCGGCCATAAAAAATGAGGGTACTTGGAGAAAGTGCATGGACTATAGAGGGCTCAATGATATCATTATCAAGGATAAGTTTCCTATCCATCTTATTGATGAATTGTTTGGTGCACAATACTTTTCAAAATTAGATCTAAGGGCATGATATCACATACTTAGAATGTGATGATGTCGAAAAGACTGCATTTCAAACACATGATGGCCATTATGAATTTCTGGTAAAGCTATTTGGGTTGACAAATGCCCATGTCACTTTTCAGTGTTTAATGAATGAAATATTTGTACACATCTCAGAAAATTTATCCTTGTTTGCTTTGATGATATCTTGATCTATAGTGTTTCTTGATCCTTGCATCTGCAACACTTAAGGATAGTTTTTGACACTCTGGAAGAGCATACATTGTCTGTAAAGCAATCCAAGTGTGCTTTTGGTAAATCTCGCGTTGAATATTTGGGTCATATAGTGACCAAGGATGGAGTTTCTACTAATCCTACTAAATTGGATTCCATCTCTAAATTCCTACATCTGTGAAAGCTTTTAGGGGATTACTCAAAAGTAATCTTGCAGCTGCTCATTGTAGAATGAAAGTAGAAGCTGATAAACATAGGGCTGAGAGGGTATTTGATGTTGGTGACTGGGTCTATTTAAGGTTGGTACCTTACCAACATGTCTCTGGCTTCACATCCTTTTCACTAACTCCCCTTTTTCCAATTTACATCCAGTGTTTCATGTTTCTTGTCTGAAGAAGCATTTGGGCACTAATGTACAGACTAGTGCACCACTGCCTATGATAACAGATTCTGGTATCCTACAAGATGTTCTAGTGGCTATTCTGGAAAGAAGGTTGATCAAGAAGGGTAATGCAGCTGCTACTAAAGTACCAGTTCAACGGAAAAATCATTCTAAGGAGGATGCTGCCTGAAATCATACCGAGACTTAAAGCTCAAGTTTCCTGAAGTTGCTCATTTGTGATTTGTCTTGTTTTGCGTTGTTGTAATAGCTGCTGTGATTACTGTTGTTGTGTTCATTCTGTTGTTTACAAGTTTTGTTTCAAGGGAGGTATTGTTAGGATACTGCCAGTTGGCATCATCTTACGGTGCCAAGTGTACGATAGCTGATTACTAGAGTTGGAAATATCCTACAAATAGTAGCTTGTAAGAGAAGTTCAACAGTCAATGAAATAGTATTGTTCTTCTGTTATACATTATCTCTGTCCAGCCATTGAACATGTGGAGCTAGGTTCGAACGGATGAAACGAAGCATGCCCCTAAAAAAGGAGAGACAGAAACACAGGCGGAGGGCGAACCCTCCGTTGCTGCAAGACATTGTACCAATTAAATTGCATAGACTATCTCTCCGCTGCTGTCAATGTCAATGTCGGGATCAGACTCAAGATCCTCCTCCATGTTATCTATGTCCAGGCTGCCAGCAAGATACTGGTTGAGACTGTTGGCCCCGGCCGCAGGTATTGTAGCCTCGGCAATTATCTGCATAATCTCATCAAGGCTTTGCATGGGTTGATCCGGCTCTTCAAACTGGTTGTTCATGGTGTTTTCAACCATGAGATCTCCTGGAAGGTTCTTTAGAAACCATTCGTGGTTCCTGATCTCAGGGATGGTTATCCTCTGTTGCATACAATAATAATCAATGAGAATCGAATCAGAACAATGTTATTTCTGTTCCTTAACCCCTAATCAGATATGGGGAAGCAAGCTAATGGAATCAAAACTAGCTAGTGAAGCTTAGAGAAATATAGTTTTATACGCAAATGCCACTTATTCGGCAATGCATTTATGGATTAAAGTATAATACAAAGAATCTCACGCACCTTCTCGGGCTCAGCTACGAAAATCCTTGATATTAGATGGCGGCACTCTGGAGATATATGAACATAGTCAGGAATAGAGTACTGGACATTCGTTATCCGCTGCACAAGAGGAAAAACCTTAGACTTGAGTTAAGCTTCATAGCCACCAAGTTTCAGTAGCAAATAAGGTTAAAAAAGTTACGTGTATTGTCTTGCGGAAGTTTTTAGGCTCCCCAGGATCTTCAAATGGATATGCACCCACCAACATGACATATAAGGTCACCCCACAAGACCATACATCTGCAATCTGGAAGGGTAGATCAAAATGGAGACTATTAGCATGATTGTGCAGAAATGCACAGTATTTATGGCACCGACAAATTATCATTGCAAAATACAGGATCAGTTATGCAGGATTGAATTCCAACACTGAAACTTCGTGGGAGTGTGAATAATCAAATTGCCAGCATCAAACTATAGGATGGGAGTGCCACTTAGTACTATGGTCTAGTGGTATTCCTCCACACTTGTAAGTGAGAGGCCTTAGGTTCGATTCTTGCCCAAGGCGAATTTGAACCACATTATTGCTAGCCCATTCTGAGGCTAAGCCCACCCCCATCCCCCTTAGTGTAGATATATCGTTTGTTTCAAAAAAAAAAAAAATTATAGGATGGGAATATATAAGGTTAGACAAACCAGTAATCAAATTGTAAGCTAAGTTCTTTTCCAGAATGTCTTCAGCTAAGTTTAACATATGCAAATACAAATAAGTAACGCAGTGCAATGACTTTGCAAAGAATTGGCACAGATAAATTAAAGTGGAACAAATAAAGCCAATAAATACAAATAAGTACTATTACCTTTCCATCATATTCTTTCTTGAGTAACACCTCAGGTGCAATATATGCAGGGGTGCCCACAGTCGATTTTGGTTGTGAATGCAGCACCGAGGACTCGAAAACAGAGACCAAGGCTAATTAGATGGATATGATAAAAAATATTCATCCAAGAGTAAAGAGGCAGACTAATTCCTGTGTGGTATCTACCAGATAAAGAAAAACACAGAACATGCATTTTCCAAACACATTTCCATTGAGTTTAATCACCAGATATATTTCATAATTTAGCACCGGACTCCTGCGGTCGCTGTGCATGCAAAGACACAGAGAGAGTGTGTGTGTGTGTAGTACCTTTGAGTAGCCAAAGTCACATATTTTTAAACGAGGAGCTGGACTTCCATCTAACAATGTGTTCTCCAACTTCAAGTCCCGGTGGCACACTTGCTTCATAAAGAAATACAAAAAAAATGTATCCAATTCAGAAATCTAGTAGAAGGTATAAAAAAAATAAAATAAACATGGACAACATATTCCCATACCATTGCATGACAGTAACTGACTCCTGATATAAGTTGCTGGAAGAAGAAACGCGCCTGCAACACAAGAACATTAGAAATAGGTAGGACTCGTTATCAGAAACTAAATCAATGTGGTGGATAAGAACCTCATCCTCACTGAAACGCCCAGCGTTGCATATACGCTCAAAGAGCTCTCCCCCAGATGCATATTCCATCACAATAGCCAGATGAGTGGGTGTTAATATTACCTACAACCACATAGTAACAAAACTGAGTTCCGTGGTGAAATTAATTTGTGTTTAAATGTTAATATTTAACAGACCTCTTTGAACCGGACAATGTTTGGATGCCTCAATGACCTGTGGTTTATAATTTCTCTTTGTACATTTTCATCTATCTGTTAGTCAAAAGTATAGAAGTAGGGTAAACCAACAATGAAAAGAGAATATTAATTGGAATTACCAAGCCCTACAACAACCAATACCAACGATAACACAAAAGTAAAATCTTATCTTTGCATAAATAAAAAGATTTTTTGTTTTTGATCAAACGATTTTAATCAAGTAACATTTGCTGCCTATATCACTATTTATAAGATCAAATTCAAGATTCAAGCACACTATGGATAAGAAGAAGATAAAATAAAATTGTTCATTAAGTGGTTTAGAAAAGAATGTCAGCATACGATTGTTAAAACGCATCAAGTCATAGTCTTTCTCCTTCTGATTCACTAAAAATGCTAATTTTGTTGATTCTTTAAACATCTAACAATTCTCAAGTTATCTAATCACACCACACCACACCACACTGGGGAGTTCTATTCCTTCCAAAGAGAGATTACAAACCAACTAACTGGGAAAATGGAAGAAAACAAACAATTGGAAAAATTTCAATTATCTTGTCCCCAAAAGCCAAATTTCAATTTATCATGTCCCCAAAAGCTAAGACCTCCCACTCAGCAGACAATCTCCATAACAATAGTTGGTTTAGATTCAAGTGCTCAGGATTGTGTTTGGTAAATTTAACACGCGCCGTCTGTTAAATGTTTGGTAAAAAGCTGAACTTGAAAACCTAAAGAAACCAACTAAAACCAAACACAATCATGAGCACTTGTATTTGAATCCAACTAAAACCAACTTAGTTTAAGACACTTCAGTAGGAAAGGACAGATAATCAACTTCCACAAACTCCCATTTGAAATACACATAAACTCCATAATCCTGAAATCCAAAAACATAATACATTTTCTAACACCTGCAAACAATCACAAAAGGAAACTAAACCAACAAAGCAACAATAAACTTGAAAACCCATCAACCTTCACCTACAAAACAAAATAATTTATAGAAAAAAAAAATCCAAAAAAGCAATCAACTCCCAAATTTCAACAAATGATTCATGCCTCAAACCCCATTTCAAAAATGATATATATATATATGAAAGGAAGAGTAAAATCGAGAGACTAACCTTCTCACCTCTCTCTATGTATTTCACAGCAACAAGCTCACCAGTCTGCTTGTCCCTCATAAGCCGTGCAACCCCGAAATTTCCCGACCCAATATCCCGAACCAGCTCGTACCGATCGCTGTCGTGCATGATCGGCATGTCCATGGCTGGCCCAACTGTGAGCACAGACCGATTCATATCTCTCCTCTCGCCCTCCCTCTATATACACCAACACCCTCTGAAAAAACCCAATTCCTTCCACACGCTGAGCTTTCTCTGATTCTCTCTCTAATGTTAGAGAGAGAGAGAAAGGAATGGGAAAGGCAAAGCAGTGATCAAACCAACCGAAGGAGCGGTGGTGGAGGTGCGGTGGCAGCGCCTGGACCACTGGATTGATGGGAAAAGGTGGTGGGTGGAGAAAAAGACTGAGATGCGTTCGTCCCCGTGAAGCTCCCACCCACCTCAGAAATGGGGGTTTATCAGATCTTTGTCAAAAAAATCAAAAGCTTTAATCTTTATATTTTTTAATATCTGGGTGTTTTTGGCGTTGCAAAGGGCGTTAGGATCCTACAGCTCGTGAATCCAACCATCCACCCTTCTCTCTCTGAGTCTCTGTGTGTTTCTTTCAGCTCTCTTTGTGTTGTGTATGATTTTTTTTTTATGATTTTATCCACTCCACTCCAGACTCTCCATAAGGAGACAGATCAAATCTATTTATCGTGTTAAATTCAGTGAAGTCAGAGATGGTGAAATTTCTTCTTTTTCCCTAACATCCTCCTAGTCTCTTGCATAGTAGATACCAGATTTGTCCACGTGGGATAGGTTTTTCTGTTTTTTCCCACACCTACAAATAGAGTGGTACCAGTTGGGAGGATATTTATTTGAAATGGGGAGATATTTGCATAACTTCTTCTTTCTTTTTTTTTTTTTTTTTTGGGTAAACTAGGAATTGCATTTTAGGTCAAAGATGCCAATAAGATACACGAAAGCCTACAGTGAGGCAAGCAACAAGCTAGATTGCATAACTCAAAACAAACAAAATTGATAAAGAAAGGTGCCCTAAGCCATAATGTGAAATCTCATTCTCGGATTTCACTATTTAAAATTACGTATCTCATATGTAGTATTCATATTCGCAGTTTCGACGTGTTTATGTTTACGGCGTATAAAATTTTTATTCGATAAGTAAAAGGACAAAATTGTCCCTATTGTGTTAAACGAGATTCTTTGTGGACGTACTTGATATTTTCATAATTTTTCAGATTTCTTTGCATATCTGGATAGTATATGTCGATAGGAATGCATGGCGCAAACAAAACGTAAATTGGAGTTATAACCAATGACATATAAATGTACCAAGATATGGGCAAAATGGTCATTTGACCATAATCTAGAAGGCTTCAGAGGATGAAAGGAAAATAAGAGAAATAAGAAAGACGGACGGCTGAGATGAAAAGGAAAGGAGAGAAAAGGAGAGATGGGGGGAACATATAGGCTAAGGAGGGAAGGGGAGAGAAGGAGAGGACCAATGGGAAAAGAGAATAGGGAGGGGAAAGGAGAGGGAGAGACCCAACGAACCAGACCTGCCCTCAACCAGTTTCTGGCTCAACCCAACCCGGTGGTGGCACCATTCACGGAGTTTCACGGCAAATCACGGCAAATCATCACCTGGAAACAACTTCCTAGCCATCCATCTTCCATTTTCACCCAAAATTAGAAAGAATTTGGTTGTAGTTTTGGTGAAAAACCAACGGTGGGTGCGTCTACGACGGCTATTCATTAAATCCGAATGTAACTCTGTCAACCACCACCACCAAAAGGATCCCCTCAACCTCAGGAACAAAACCCAAACAATTGTAGGGGCGGCGGAGCACCGGAGGTGACGAATTAAAGGCCACCATTTTTAAGGTTTCCGGCGGATCGAGGGACTTCAGAAGGTTTCCTAGCCGAATTGGACTTTGTCCTAGGTATGAAAATTGCTCCCCTTGGTTGGCTATACATTTTTATGAAATTTGGTAATTTTTTGAAATAGTTGAATTTTCCGGCGAGTCGAGGCGGCCGACCGCCGCATGCAGCGGCGCGTGGGGCGAGACCCGACCTGCCCATCCTAGGCCAAATTTGATGCCCCGAGTCCATATTTGACATCCGTTTGGTGAAATCCCGATGTTTTAATATAGTTTTGTAGTTGACCGCCTAGTTGGCAACCACTTGGTTATTACATGAATTGACGATCCGACCATTGGATCGAAACTAAAATTTAATACATGATATTACGTAATATTTAAGGGTATTAGGAACTTACAAATTGGGAATCCAACATACGGATCTTTTCGAATTGAATTTATAATCTTATAAAATCAAACATAGATAACAACCTAATTCTAGCAATTGGCCGAGATCTAACCGTTGGATCATTCCGAAATTTTAGAATATTGTTCAAGAAGATAAATGAGACCCTTGGGAAGTTATGGATCAGAAATTCATGAGCGGATGTTCCAGATTGACATGTATAGGGTTGTGGACCCCACCGTTGACAAATACTCGATTTTTGGTCAGTAAGCTACGAATTGATCTTAAATATTAAAATTAGTATTACTAGGGACTATGTAAGGCTTAGTGGGCCTATATTGGTTAGTGAGTTATCCCCGATAATATATACATCCATTTACGTGTATGAGACGTCACATTGTGATATATATATATGTGTGTGTGTGTGTGTGTGTGTGTGTGTGTGTGTGTGTGTTTATTTATCTTCGTAATAATGTGACTAATAAGTATGATACATGTATATATTTTGTAGAACTTATATGCTTGTGTGACATATTAGTTGGTGGCCATGAGGAGTTGATGGTGTAGGTGACTACGTTGTAACTTATAGGGGTTGAGGTATGGGTAGGTTGTGTGTTGAATTTATTGCACCATGTAGTAGTGGTACATGGATGGTCCTGTTTGGTATATCCGCGATGGAGGACCATACGTATTTTAGGGGTGATCATGCTTGGTATATCCGCGATGGGTGATCACTACCTAGAGCTATATGATATAGTCTTGCTTGGTATATCCGCGAAATGGGACTGTTAGGGGTGATCATGCTTGGTATATCCGTGATGGGTGATCACTGCTTGCATGATGAGATTATGCCAATGGTTCTTCTTGGTATATCCGCGATGGGGGACTATACACATTCTATGCGTGATGAGGATTAGTTGTACTTGGTACATTTCGATAGTCGATCATATTTTGTTTGGATATCACTTGATTATATAATGTGAATCTATTGAGATGTGATTTGACATTGATCTATGTTTATTAGTCGTGGTTTGATTTGTGTATTGATGATATCTGTGAAATGTGATTTGAAGTGCTTGATGAATTGTTCGATGGAAAGTAATTTGACATGCATATTTTAAATGAGATTTGATTTGCATGATTAGCATGATGTGATGAAATATGAGGGCTAGTAGTGGACCGTTAACCCATTATCATGGGATTTGTTCCTTCGAGACTTGTTTCACATATCATATCATTATTTCATTTCTCGTTTCGCTGAGCCGTTCTAATTCTGTACCTTGTGCTTTGTTCCATTTCTTGTTTCGTTGAGCTTTTATATTTTGAGTATTTGTTTCATGTCTTGTTCTTCGAGTGTTTCTATATTCCTTGGATTTCTGCTCAGTTCCGTTGAGTGATCTGGAACTGGGTTTCTGCTAGGGTTTTGTTGAGTGGTCCGGGTCCCTGCTCCGTTTGGATTTCGTTGAGAGGTCTGAAATCCCTTGTGATTTGTGATTCCATTGAGTGGTCCATAATCGTATCCAGCTTGGATTTCATTAAGTGGTTCGATATGCATTGTACTTTGCGATTCTGTTGAGTGGTCCGGAATCGTATCCACTCGGATTTCGTTGAAAGGTCCGAAATCCCTTATTTTCTGTGATTCTGTTGAATGGTTTGGAATCATATCCTGGTTTAGATTCCATTGAGTGGTCTGGAATCCCCTTTGGTGTCTTGGTTTCATTGAGTGGTTCAGAACCCGATGTTGATGGATTTTGTTGAGTGATCTAAAATCGCATCATTTGACTCATTGGTTCCTTAGATTGATTCATTTGAGACAACTTCAGAGATGTAGGCTTCGGTTGAACTGTGTCGCTCTAGCCTTGCATTTCGGTGTATGGTATGTGTTATTGATTGATATGATTGTGAAATGATGTTGGTTATGATTGTTGTCATTATGATTAGACTCGTTGACCAATATGGCTAGAGATTTATGTCGCGCTTCGTTGAATGTTCCTCATGATGTTGCATGCCTATTATGTGGTATTATGTTGAGACATAGTGATTTATGTGATGATTGTTTGAGTGTAATGAAGGGTGAACTACGAATGGCTTGATCCCTATTGAGAGTACGTAGGCAGTCTAACGAGGAAGTTAGATGCAGCCATAAAGTATACGAAAATTACTATGCAATTCAAATCTTGAATTATGCTTTGTACATATCCTGGAGGCAGGGTCTGTTGGATTTACAGATACTTGGTGACGTCACATATCGATCCTGGACGTATGTCGGGATCGGGGCGTGACACATAACCTAGAAATTTTTTAAGACATAACTCATAAATTGTTTTTTTTTCCTTTAATGATTATGCTTAAAATTTTAGCCTTAGATTATTAAATAATGATTTTAGCTTAATTATTTTTTCGTTAACTTTTTTGAAAATAAAATTTATTTAGATTATCCTAATTTATTTTTACGAACATTTTAAACTAAAAATATTTAAATTTCAATAAATAAAACTTATACAAATACATAGGTATTTATATAGTTTTAAGTGAAATTTGATTCGAATAATTTCTTTAAATTATGTTAAACGTTAGATTTAACTTTGGATCGTCAATTTTTTTTTCTACCGTTAGAGTTGATCTCAAGTGATCACGATATTTGGATTCTAAGTAAAAAATAAAAATAAAAAATTGAAATATGATAATTTGGTGGATCCAGAATAATTTAAGCCATGCTTAACTTCTGGAGGGAATCTAGCCCAAAGATATATTTTCTCCCTAACCCAATGGTTGGAGATGGTTTGGGGGGATTTAAAGCTTATATTTTAAGCTTTATCTTATAGGTTGGAGATGGTCTAAAGGCACAAACTTTAATAAGATCAAATCAATCAATTCCTCTTATATGATATGAGCTGCACCCACAATGCAAATTATTCTTGTGATGAATTTGTGTTTAAGGTGTTGTAGGGAAGGGTGAATTCGTCAATTAAGATTTATATCAATGCTCCCATTCATTGCGGGGATTTAGAGGTATTCTTTGAGTTTCGTGAAGGCTTTTCGCATTCATCAGTCCAGAGTAGACCCTTGCTCTTCTTTGTTGCAATAAAGAATGATTTGCTCTTGTCGGTGGATCGTGAAAGGAATCTGTTGAAGGCTGTCACTCGCCCTGTTGGCTTTGTAATTCCTTCATGGTTCTGGATGGCTTCATTTTTATGATGGCCTTGATCCGGTATGGTTTAACCTCAATTCCACGCTTTGTAACCATGTATCCCAAGAATTTGCCCGATGTTATTCCGAATGTACACTTTTTTGGATTTAGCTTCATGTTGTACTTCCGAAGCAAGTCAAACAACTTTTGCTCGTGTGTCATGTGGTTTTTTTTTTCTCTTTACCTTTGACAACCATGTCGTCCACATAGA